GAGCATGTTTGGTGGGATGCGGATTCGAACCCGCGACCCTCAGATTGTGAGTCGAGCGCCTTATCCACCTGGCCATGCCGGGCACTACTTTCTGCTAAAAATGTTTTGGTAATTTAGTGAACTCAGGGTTTTATCTAGGTAATTCTGGAGCATAACACTTTTGTAAGACAATTGCATTAGAGTAAAAAAACATCTCAACTTGGACATTTTTGAAATATCATGAGTAGGTAACCACATTTACTGTTCCTCTACAAAACTTGTATGTATAATGATTTAGCTAAATATAAAAGAGCAACCCTAACAGATAGATTTGACAGGATGAGCTTGAGGATAATGTTAAGCACAATTTAATTTGCCACAATCAGAAAATGAAATGTCAATACATAATTGACCTTGTTCAAATAGCTGGAATGTTGAGTTCATTTCCAGTTGTGTAGCATCAAAATAAATTAAAAAATGTAAAGACTAAAACTTTAAAATTCATGGTCAAATAATAAATTAATTGATGCAAAGTACACAGACATCCTGAAAACCTACTAAACAAGAGATTAAAAATCACAAAGTACAATTTTTTAAGCTCATTCTACTAGTTAGTAGTAATGATCTAAAGTTACCTTAATAATCTTCTTATGACATAAAAAAAAGCAAAATTTGAAAATAACTTACCACAGTTTTTGGCTGTTCTTTAGTGTTGTTATAAAACATTTTATGCACAGTTACAGGTTTCTCTTGTAGCTCCCAAAGTTCAACAATACTGCCAGAGCTTCCTTTATTAATAAAGATACATCAATACATTAAGATAAAAGGACTAGTTGGCCAGTTATATATATATATACACATCATATACTTTAAAATTCTTATGGAATTCTAAGATTCTCTGGTGTTCTGATTTACCTTTATAACACTCAGGATTTGTGGTCAGTTTGTTTAACTGGATTATTTTCTTTAATGTTATTATAAATTATTTTAATTCTGATCTACATTATTAACTTACATTTTAATCAGAAGTTCTTAAAAATAACGAATGTGGTTAGCAATTTATTTTCTCTAAGATTATTATATGATCATATATATGATCGGAAAGTGTTACCAATACAGAAGGATCATATTTTCTAGACCACTATACCTAATTTTAAACAGTCTGATAGACCAAAAACAAAAGCCCTAAGCTTAAGTAAGAAAATTAAAAATTTTTCAAAGATGAGTACATTCTTGGGTATTTTTGTTCTTTAAGCACAAAGATATGCAATTGGTTATATGTGCTCTGCTCACTGCAGGTATCAAAACCTGATTTTAAGCATTCTAAGCCCTGACCATTGAAACACTGTGGAAGGGATCACATTCTTGGGTATACAATTAGCTTACTCTGAAAAAAAGTTCAGTCATATCTACCAGCAAAAATTGAAGTGGATCAAGAAAATATTTTAAAAGACCCCCCCCCCCCATACACACACACAAACTTACTATATATAATACTTATATTTAAAAATAAAAAAATGAAAACTTGAAAGAAAACAATTACTGAAGATACAATTTATGTGTATATACAGCTTTTGATGTTATTTATAACAGTAATATAATTTTGTGCAAAAGATTATAAAATTTTGAAAAATGAAACTTGATTTTTCTCATTATGCGATGTACATTACTTAGTTTATTTAAGTATTGTACAATTCAAAATTCTTATTTGAAAATAGTTAACAGTTCTTCCTGGTTAAAAAGTGATCATTTTCACATTTTTGATAATGAAATTATTAAAACTGATTTGCTAATTAGAAACATTTTTTAAAATAAATGTTTGTGTAACTGATACCATAATATAAACTTCAAGTTTAAAGCAAGTACAGATGTAGGCAGAATGGAATGTTCTACACAAG